GCGCTTCGAGAGTCCATCTGCAGGGGTGCTAGACTGGCTAGATGGCGGGTGAATTTTGATAGGGAAGTTGCCAAACCCATTAGATACGGTTGTAGCACCGTATGCGCGAAGGGCCTGAGAGGATATCGATCCAGCATATATGGTCTCATTATCTGATACTGCTACCGCCGTCGTAAGAACACCGTTTAAAAATGGAACTGGAGTATCCAAGTTTTGCAACCAGTTCTTTTGCGATCTGACCCAGACTGCAAAGCCTTGCACCTCAGCAACGTCGTTATTACCGAATGCAAGAAGGTGCGTAAATTCACCAGTTAAGGTGATGACGTCTTCTGCTGCGCTCTCGCTGAGGTTCATGGTTGTTGGTACAATACTTGTAACAGTTCCGTCCACACCAGCTCCGAGTGGTGCCCATTGGTTACTTGAGCTGTCATAAATCGCAACGTTTGCCAATCCCGGCGTCGAACCATCCTGGGTATTGTTGAACCGGCCGCCGACGAATAGACTATTGCCATCTAGGTACATCGATAAGACCTCGCCATTTATGCCACCGTCAAGCGCCAAAGTCTTCCCATCATTATCGATGGCAACAATGTTACGCTCGTTGTCAGAGGTGAAATTACCGCCTATATAAGTTCGGTCTTTGCTGGCGACCAACGATGTTACCGCGGATTTGGGTTCGAATGAAGAACTGAGCTTGATGAAAGCAGAATTGGCAAAATCGGAGGTCTCAACTGTCGCCCGGCTGGGATCGTATTCGAACAATCCGTTTAGGCCACCGGTAGAATTTAGAAGCTCGAATCCAACTCTTTGGGCTACCATCACGAAATCATCGCCGGAAATAGATTCCGATTGGCCAGGTACAGGTGACAATGTAACACTAGGCTTGAAGGAACTCGAGCTAGCATCAACAGAACCTATATGAAGTTGGTCATATTTGTCGTACTCGTTAGTCTGATATAAAATTCTCGGATCCATTGTTCGATTAGCACCACTTGACGTCAACGTCCCTGATACTCTAACCTGACCACGTCTCAAGCAAGTGTTATCCTGAAGACATCCAGGCGTATACAACTTGATGATGTACTCTCCAGATTCTCTGATATCCGGGTAGAACACAACAGAAGCGGCGTCGGAGGCGACTGGTTTCGGCAGCTGAGCTGACAGATATTGAGCGTAGCTTTGTCCCGACGGAGTCACTGTCCATGTTCCCGTTGTGGTCGCTTCTGAAGGCGTTGAAGTGTTGGCGCACTTGGGTTCGTTGAAATCATTGATCGCGAAGGCGAAAATATCGTCCTGGAATAGTTCAATACCAGTCAGGCCTCCACCATTACCGTACCAGGCGGAGATGTCAAGTCTAAATGCGTTCATCCCAAGCCGGTTTACAAAGTGGAAATCCTGGAATTCGACCGAAGGGTCATCGCTAAGCGGGCATTCGCTAGTACACGTAGAGTTCTGCTTGGTTACAGGGTCGATGTAGGTGAAGTTCATGATGCCGTTCAGCGGCAGCGCGGTGAATCTCCAAGTCCGAGTTCCCCGACCATCTTGGTGAGTATTCCATAAACGAAGTTTGGTAGGTTCAAAACCGTAGTTGAAAGCTGCCCTCCACGTTCCCGGTGTATTGTCCTGCAAGAGCCAAGCATTACCAGAACCGTCAGTACCATTGGTTTTACAAACAATGTTCTTCGGGTCACTGAAACCTGCGGCCGATGTGCTCTGATCGGCTTCGATAGTCGCGGTAGAAAGATTGATAACCTGGCCATCAGGCGTACTCGGCGCGCTCGTGTTTCCTAGGCCCGTAAAACTTCCCCCGAAGATTATATGTCCGGTAGGCGCCTTCGTAATTGAGTTGACAGGTCCATTAAAGCCAGCAAATGGCAGACTTGCCCAGCTTTTCGACGCAAGCCACGTAATCGCGTTGGTAGAGTTTGCTGCCCTAAAGCTACCGCCAACATAGACCTTACCAGCTGAATCATCACATAACAAGCTGTTAACTTGACCCGAAAGATTAGCCAGAGGTGTGACTTTGGAAGTATTCGGGTCGAAAGATGCGATGCCTGATGATTGTACTCCTCCTAAGCTTGTGAAGTTACCACCTAGGATGATCTCCCCTTGAAACATGCACATTGTCTGAATAGATGCGTCCGCCTCTAGAAGATTGACAAACACCCCATTTGGAAGGCGCGTCAAGAGCTGTTCAGATCCATTAGAACTGAAAGGCAGCTCGGACTGCCTATCATATTGGTAAAGAGAAATGCCGCTAAAGTCTCCAGCGATTCCAACCCTTCCAAGTTGACGTGTATCGAGATTCGCATCAGGTATCTGATTGAAGGTGATCGCTCCCGATAGCGACGCGAACGAGGCGAGGGCAAGAAACCACGGCGATGGTATCGGAGCACGACTGCGCGTGGCGCAGCCCTGGCGGAATGCGATTTTCATAGCTACTTTGACCTATGGCCGAGTTAAGGGCAACGTGCCCGTGTCTCGACAATACTCAATTTAGTTTCCCTATTAACGAAACCCTCGTCTTCCAACACGGCGCAAACGCTTTATTTTCCGACGGAGTCCATAACCTCGAGGAAATCGATATATAGTGCGCGCGCGGAAACTGGAATTAGAGGCGAACAGGTAAGTGCGGATTGAAGGTGTCGCGATGTATTGTGTTATTGCGAAACAATTAATTATCGAGAATGCGAGTTCGGCGTTGAAAAAAACAAAAAAAACTAAATGAGTGGACTGGCGGGAATCCCGAGGCGACAAGTGGTAGCAATTAAGATTATAATCTTGAATTGACTTTTATTATTGTACTCGGCCGTCGGACGGATTGCGTCGTCTCCTCGAGGTCCAAGATTTAGAGGAAAGTGGTTCTTGGTGAGTGCGTGGATCTAGCGGTAATAATTAGAATGGGCTGTGCTGCGGTACCCGAGTGCCTAGAGTGTGTTGTCACTAGGTGTAGGGGTGGTGCCTGCACTGGTACCCTATTAGCTTACGTCAACTACTAAGATTTCCCCCAATTTTAACCTAAACTAGCCTTGCTTCAAAAGGGAATCCAAATCGAGATGAAGGAGAGTTTATCATTGGAAGAAAAATACAAGATGAGAGAGTACTGAGGCAATTCTCTATATCAATTCAACAAGCAAACAATTGCTCTGTGGAACAAAAATAACCCCTCGCTCGCCAAAGGAAACGTCTAAGGAGTGCAACGAGGAGGAAGGGAGACTTATCACTGACCAGTTTTCAAATGATACCAATGCACGATGCAACGGTCGTCCGATGGTATCACTTTAGGAGCGATGTGTACTGCCAACTGTACTACTGTGATGAGGAAAAGTAATGCTTTGCTGCTGCTAGGCCACCACTAGATCCCAGTCTCGTAAACTAGATTATTTTACTTGATTTTTGCTTGGTTAGGTGCCCAGGAGTAGGAACTTGACAACGACAGGGACCGGCTTAGCCCAATATGCTAGGGCTGATTTTTAGAAGTGTGCCTGGCGGTGATTCTTCGGAAACGAGCGACGTGGGGATGCTGTATAAATCCCTTTGGTTGGTGAAATGAGCGAATGCGGTAACGACGCGATCGTACTTGATGTGTCTTAACTGCCCCAGAACTTGTTGCTGTCAAACGTAGTCTGCCGGATAATGCTGTCCTCAGATCAGGGGTTTAGAGGCAAGTGTTGATTGGATCTGATTGGATCTTCAGAAAACGCGAACGAGTGACTAAAAATGAGAAACGACTGTTGTGAAAAAAAGAAAATGCCGTATAGGCGAGAATAGTGCAACAATATATTGTTACACGCCTCACGTATTAACCTAGAGTAATAAAGAGGTAAAAGGAGTGACAATACTCTTTGGTGTTTTCTGCCTCTTCGTTGTCGAACGTCGAACGTCGAACGGGTGAGAAAAACGGCCAGCGTGCAACAATAGGAAGAGCTAGAGCGAAATGTGCAAGAAGGGAGAGGCTTGGGAGGGTCTGCACCTGCAGTAGCGTAATTTCTGCTGAGAGCCTACATACATGTACCTAGATGTACGCACCTAGCCAGCTTAGCTCACCTGTGCAGACGGCACGCTTCCATTGCACACACGCTCCACATCGGGTGTCCATAAGGGGCTTACAGGGGTCGTTCCTGAGGGAAGCCACAATCTCGTCTTCCCAATCTGTAACTAGTCTAGTCTCATCGTCCAACCGTTAAAAGAGAGCCAAGGGTAGAATCTTATCCAAGCGAAGTCTCACGGGCGGTTTTCTCGTGTTTCTATTATGCAAATCTTATCATTACGCCGGCTAATCCTGTACTATGTAGCATAACGGGTTCTTTAACAAGATGGTATGAATGATGATTGTTATTCCCGAGAATAGAAAAAAATCGGTATTGTGCTTCGTATATACCTTACATACATGTAGTTCAATAGAATACATAACCTACCTCAGCTATATACCTCCTAAAAAGGTAATAGGTAGAGGCTTACATTCAGATGATCGCCAGCGTCGAAAAGCCAACCAATGACAGAGTAAGTAGCAACAACTCCTTCCAATTTTAACCCATAGGATCTTTTATAATTGCTTTGCCGCCGCCGTAACGTCGAGCGTATACAATCAACGGGAAAATAGCGATAATAAATACCAACTCTTCAAGACTACGGACACGGAACTAAGTATACGGAATTTTGGGGGTTCGTCGAAACATGCAAGATGCGAGATGCAAGATGCAAGATGCAAGATACATTAACATAACCGTGGTCCGGGACTGAAGAAACATCACCATACTTACCAGTCGCAAGAGATTCCGGGAGAGCGCGGAGATCCGCACATAGATCGGATAGAATTGGTTGGTTCATCCTATATGCACTCCTTCCAACTCCGCCTTCTGTTTTCTATTAAGTAGCTGACCAAATATACGGTTTAAGGCTAAGCTTTATGTTAGGTACTTACCCATCTCAAAAATTAAGATATTTTATTCCTTTGGTCGCTTTTTCAATGGCGCAAGTCACGTAGTAGGAAAGTCAGACAGAGCTAATCCGATTGAACGATTTCATATCTCATAACTTGGTGTTGCTATTTTGCGGTTCCCCCACACCCATTCGGGTCTTATAATCGCGAGGGCTTTCAAAGAATTGCGGGTTACCACCCCACATCCCTCTCTTCGCAGCCTTTGCTTTACTCTCTGCAGCCTTATACTTCTCCTCAAGACCACCAAATTCAGCACCACTCTTAGCCTCGTATGTTGTAGCCAGACCTCGCTTTAACATTTCCAAGCCAACATCGCGGCGGATAAGGAACCGCCTTACAAATACGGTAGCAACAACACGATCGTACTGGTCACGTCTGTAGATCTTTGCTCGAACCCTTCGCCCAAGTATGTATTCAGATAACCAGGCGAGGGCATCCGTCGAGAATGGTTGGGCAGGTCGTCCGAAATGAGCGCCTTCTGGTGCGTCAATACCAGCGAGACGTATAGGAATCTAAACCATTTAAGAGTTAGATATAGAGAGCGGTCAAATAGGGTCATGACTAATTTACCGTCTTATTCTTCAACTCTACCCTCTTGACCGGGACGTTTCGTAGCCATCCCCACCCCGCTAGACGACCACCCGGTGTGTGGTATAAATGGAAGTTATCTCCATCTCCGACACTCGTAACCTGACCGAAGATGCTTCTCTTCCTGAAAAAACTCGGTCGGATATGAATAGTACCGGGGATTCGACGTAGGTATGAACGGTAGATCTGCAAGGAGGCGACAACGGTTGTCGTTACAAGCAAAGTCGGGACCCAATTTCTAGGGTCTTTGTAATGTTGCCAATCGGTTCCGTTTAAACTGTCAGACCAGGAGACTGGTCGTCTCGAAGAATCACCGTCTTTCCCAGAGGCAGAGGTGAAAGGCCATACCATTATAATTGTGACTTGGAAAGGTCAAAGACCAAACCTTGGGGTTGAAAGTAGAAACTGTTGCTTATTTGAAGTCCCCAAGATTAAACCGATCGACAACCGGCAGCCTTGGGGCTTTCCCTAATGGAGCAAAAGCTATCCTTATCTTATCGGTTTGCTTGCTGTAGTGCCACCTTAGCCCCTAGGCAAGCCAAAGTTAGATGTTGCCTGGCATCTTGCATGTGTGAAACAAAAAGCCCCGTCGACGTCAATGTGCAGCTATGAATAATATCAAACCTAAAACTATACCAATAAGAAGGAGCTTGGTAAAGCTCAAGTAACAAGTAAAAGGTAAAACACAAATAACCTTCAATACCAAGACATCCCAAGTCTAGTACCTAAAGCTTAACAACTTTTATTACTTTAATTTCAAAGACGGATGTCAATTTGGGCGTAAATATTTTCATAAATCTGCTTGTTGCCTGTATGGTATTCACCACGAAAAATATATACCTATCACACGAATCCAGGGCACATTTAAGCCTCAGCTCGTCCTAACGACAACAACATCCCGAAGTTACATCAACGACAGTCCACGAACAGGCAATCGGATACCACGCAGCATCTTATAAGAGGCTTATTTCTTCCTTAATTAAGTAGGATCCGCAATCATTGGCTGTGAAGCTTGATGCTGTTTTGTGCATCTCCATTGGTTTAGGCAATTAGGATTCTTCGAGGTATTGCAACCCGATGGACTAAGTGCAAGTTTGGGCTTCTCCTTTGAATTTTAATCTCAAGGCGCCACCATGTTTTCGCCTCGTCGGCGGGCGGTTCGACTACAAGAGCCTGAACACCAGCCTCTTTTGAGTCGTGTCGTTTTTGGCCCGCCAGAACAAGAGCCACCCCTCGGTAACGATACGAATGACCACGCCCATCTGCCGGTGTATACAAATATCCATCGGATACGAAGAGATGTTATCAGTATAGTCGAAGACTTTCTCACTCTCGAGCAGTTAACAGACCTTCGGCTCAATATTTCAGTTGTCCGGCCGCTAGTAGACAAGTTATACGAGCAGAATGATATATCTATCGGTACGTGTACTTACTCATTGCGCTAAGTTGTTTATATATAATATTTCATCCCAGTACCTACTTATATAGACCAGTAGTTATGGAAATAAAGCTAATCACAAATTAGTTTATTGTTTGCTCGTGAACCGCTTTCAGTTCCTCCGTGAGCAGGAGCATATGACCAATAGACAAAACGTTTACTTCACACGGGCGACCCTCTGTGAGCTTGTGGCTACCCGCATCTTAAGACGTTTTGGCGATGATAACCCAGGCTCGGAGGGACTCCTTCTTTTAGCTAAAATTCTAGTTACTGGGTTTGGGCCGTTCCAAAATGCCCCGGAGGAGATTCGTGAGGAGGCCTTTCTTGGTCCTACGTGGAGCCAAAATAGGACTTTACCGGCACTTGAGGTAGCTATCCTAAGTAGTAGCAAGCATTTTCTTAGTTCTACACATTGTCAAAAAGTGTAAGTTTCTCCAGCCGAGAATCTGCCACGAAGCTCACAGATATTAGTGTCAACGCAATCTACATTGGGCAAGTCATTTATACTCCAACCACTTTTGGTATGTATGAGATAGGGTTCAACTTCATTACATTAACTCGTTTTCTTCATCTTCTTGTCTTTCCGAGTCTAACAGGATAACAGTATGTGACCAAAATCTTTCATTTCGATCGAAGCCATCCGTCATCCTCCAGCAGACAGTGCTCTTATAATAAATTAATCCTATATAGCGACACATGTGATTGCTAACGCTAGTAGCTGGATATGATACCGGACCGATACAAACTAAAGCCTATCTCGTTATACGAACCCCGCGAGGCCCCCTTACTTAACCAGTATCGGCTGGTAGTGCCTCGCACGAGGAACATATTAGAAATAACCCAGTTCATTATCCTCCTTACCTTGTATCTCCTATTCATGATCGAGCGCAATCCGGAGTATTTGAGCGTTTTTGAGATGGCATTTTCAGTATACGCGTTCGGCTGGGTTCTTGATCAGTTTGCAACGATCTTAGCACATGGATGGTAAATTAGTTCGAACATTTTTACGTCTTTATCTGCTAAAGAAGATAACAGGAGCGTATACACGCAAAATCTTTGGTCATTCTTGGATGTCATGTTCGCGTTGGTCTACTGGATATATTTGATATTAAGAATATACGGTTGGAAAACCGGACAACCTGAACCAGGCCAACAAGCTCTTGACGTCCTTGCAATGGGAGCTCCAGTGCTCGTACCTCGGCTAGCGTTCAACTTATTATCGGATAACTTAGTTTTCCTATCCTTACGATCTATGATGGCGGATTTCACTCTGCTTACAGCACTGGCAGCCTGGTTCGTATCCCCAAGCACACAACGCGCCGCTACCCGATGAAGTTCTGTGAGACTGATGACGACCAGGTGCTTTTGTGGATTCCTGCTCTCCATGGTATGGCTCGCAGAAGGGCGTCACAATATCGTGTAGGTATTTTATAGTTGCAAAGGTTCTTCATAGACTAACCATCCACAGGACTATCAGTAAATGGATGCTGTGGATTTGGTTCGGCTTGGATGGCACTGGTATTTCACGTTCTGTGAGTGAGACTGAAAATGTTTTCTATGCTTGCTTCCCTAACATCGTGTCATATAGGGGGAATTTCACTGGCTTCTAGGACCGACCTTAATGGTCACATTCGCGTTCCTGGGTAACACGCTATTCCTAACGATCTTGGTTTCGATGCTCTCGAATACTTTCGGTACCATTGTCTCCAATGCTACTGCCGAGATCCAGTTTCGAAAAGCGGTCTTGACGCTCGAAGGTGTGAAAAGCGACGCGATATTCGCCTACCAGCCTCCATTCAACATCATTGCCCTATTCGTATTTGTTCCGATGAGATTTTTTGTTAGTCCTCGATGGTTCCACAAGATTCATGTAGCAACAGTCAGGGCAATCAATCTACCGGTGCTACTCCTTATCGCCGGGATCGAGAGGCAACTCCTATGGTCAGATACGGAGTTGGTGGAATACCCGACAGAACAGCTACCAAAGAAACGTCGTACCCGGAGCTGGTTTTGGGAGAAATGGAGGATAACAAGCCACGGGGACATCCAGGCTGTTTTTGATATTCCTCCGCCGGATTCAGTTGAACGCGACATTGCAGTAGACGACGAGCTAACACACCATATGATTAGAAGACAGTTTGCTCGACAGCAAAGTTCGACGCTAGTAGAGTCGAGTAAGAATCAAGATAACGAGTCGAATCAACCGCCACCACCTAAGACGCCGAGTCGTAGAGATTCTATAGCCCCATATGGGATGCTAACAGACCAGGTACGAACCATCATGAGTGAATCGTCCGAGATCGAGGACCTATCAAGCCGTTTAGGCACATTAGAGAACACCGCCTTGAGGATTGAAGAGATGCTAGCAAGGCTATGTAACGATAATAGCGGTGGTAGCGATGGTAACGATGCCGGAACCACCTCGGAGCAGAGGGTCGATGATGGTAACTGGATATAATATATTAACTCGCCTGGCTATCTGTGGTAGTACGTCTAAGCCCTTCGAATTAATAAAAGCGTAGGCGTACGAGATAATTTGAGCAAACGGGGTATATATCGGAATCGAGAGTTTTACATAGGTAATTAGCATACATTCAGTACTGTGTTAGGAAGTTTAACACCTGAACAAATACGAAATATGTGGTCCGAGATATTATCCATCCCAAAAGCCACTGTGAAGGATAGTACCAAAAATATTAGACTAATACACCCAGCTCCATTGGTGGTATAAATCCGACGACGAGAGAATTGGCAGGCACATGGAGGTGTGTAAGTGTTTGTCTGGGTCAAACACGCACCTGCACTCCGGATCTTGAGTTCAGATGAAGGGAATGTTCCTGCTATCTTTTTCGTCGTGAGGTAGTAATTCTTTCCTAGGCAACCTAGGCAAATAACAACTCCCAAGCAACATTTTAAACCTGATATAAGACAAACACCATCTACTAGCAATATCAACTACATCTATACCTATAGGTACTTATCTACAGGTGACATTACTTGCCGAGCAATACACACTACGCTACGAATAATAGAGACATGTGTAGAACGATCCGTATGTATATTCCCTTGAAACAAACAAACTGTTATTGCATTTACCGCGTCCGTCTACCCGGGATGTTTTTGATTTGATATACCAAACCTATATCCAAGACAAGCTATCAGCCCATCAAAGCAGTGCTTCCAGTACAGATACCCATCTACAGTACACATAAGTTAACACGCCGCATAGATTTCCGCAGCCGCTGCTGTAGGCACCACTGGCTGCAGATCTGGCAGCCGTGCTATCCCGGCATGGGGTTCAACACGTGCAGCATGTTTGGCGACGGCGTCGCGCGCGAGCCTGCGAGCATTGCTGACGCGGCGGGCTTGTGTCCTGCTTGTCGCTTCTCAGGCTGCTACGACAAGAACAAGACCCGCATGATCATGGATATCAAGAGTCGCTGGCGCTGGGGGTTCGGCCCGAGTAAATACGATCCGGGATGCGAGTGCGCTGTTATGTGAGACGCGCGGGTGTTGCTGGAAAGGAGTTGCGTATCGCATGTTAGGCGTAGAGGGATAGGGAGAGGGAGAGGGAGTATTGCGTTGGCTTTATGGGTATGTTGGATATTCTTGTATTCTTGTTCATGTTTGCGATGTGGTCGAATGCCCGTGTACTAATCGCCGACCGAATAGCTCGCTAGATTACCATTACGAAGATATTATTATTATCAACACCAAGTACCGGTTTTACGTTATATCAAACTCGACTCAAGTTACGACCGTCAGGCAGTAGTGATGCTGGCTTGGATGGAGGGAAGGATACTTTGCGAATAGGCTCCGGCCGTGAAGCCTCTCGTGAAACTAGACACGCAAATAAATGCCCATAGTCAAGATCAGGCTACATCTACTCGCATTAAATACATAACAAACTATCAACCCTCATAGAGGTCTATTAAACAAGAATCAATATACTCATCGTTGTCCTACCACATAAGACGAACATATCACGTGCTTTAGGTTTTTGTGATGAGAAAAATTTATTAGCTCGACCTAACTCTGTATCGCTTTACCATCGTAATCCCGATTTGCTTCAACGACTAACACAGCATAGGCACCTAGGTAGATATGCTTCCGACGCCCGATACCTCACACGTGGCGTACGAGAGGGTATACGAGCCAGCAGAAGACTCCTTCCTACTGCTAGACACGCTGTCCTCCGCCTCCGAGACAGCATTCCTCCAGACCCGCTTCGGAGACGGCTACGTCCCGCTCGTAGTCGAAGTAGGCCCCGGGTCGGGCGTAGTCATCGCCTTCGTCAACGCGCAAGCGCAAGTCCTCTTCGGATCGCGCAACGTCCTGACAGCAGCCGTCGACGTCAACGGGCACGCCTGCAAAGCGACAAGCGAGACGGCGAAAAAAGCTGCGTTGGAAAACGCCGCGGCGACGACGACGACGACGACGACGACGCACGGGTGCTTTCTCGGCGCGTTCCAGGGGGACCTGGTTGCGCCGGTGGGGGACCGGTTGGTGGACGTTTTGATTTTCAACCCGCCGTACGTGCCGACGCCCCAATTGCCCAAGCTGCCGGGACAGGCGGATTTGCCGCATCTAGGTGCGACGCCGACGTTTGATGATGATTCGTATATGCTCTCGCTGTCCTACGCGGGCGGTAGGGATGGGATGGAAACGACGGATAGGCTGATTAATAGCCTGCCCCGAGTACTTTCTCGCAGGGGGTGTGCGTATATCCTGCTGTGCGCGCAGAATAAGCCGGACGAAGTCAAGCAGCGGATCCTGAGCCTCGGGGAAGCGTGGAAGGTTGCGACAGTGGGAACTAGTGGGAAGCAGGCCGGATGGGAGAAGCTGCAGATCATCAGGATCTGGGCAGAGTAGGTTGTTAACAGCACGTAGGAGGGGGATTTTTGGTTTTTGGTTGCCAATGGGACTTTATTTGTTTGGTTCTTGTGAGCTTTCAGCTAGCTCCGCATGAAAGAATGAAAAATTAAGTAGTGTTTGCAAAGGAGCCATACCAGCTTTGCCATTCTTTCATGGTTGTGTCTGTGTGTGTTGTGTTTTCATTTGCCTACCCCCCCAACGCCGTAGAAGTAATGCCCACCAACTTGTCTTCCTTACTCTCTCTCTCTCTCTCTTGACTTGACTCTCATGACATTTGCCTAAATCTGTAACGTAGCCTCCTCCTCCTCCTCCTTTGTCTGTGCTGTCCTCTCGGAGGCGCAGGTATGCTGTAATATAGCATCACCGATACTTCTAAAGCTTGCTGCTAGGGCTCTCCCTCTCACGGTCTACCCCGTCCACGGCCGCGGCCTCGTCCTCGTCCTCTACCACGCCCGCCTGCCCGGACACCTCTGTCCGCAGCCTCCTTGCGCGCCTTGTTCTTGGGTTTCACCGAGTCGTCGATCAGGAGCGTATCTAAGGGCAGCGAGTCGGGCAGGATGATGTAGCGGATCGTGGAACCGCGGATGTTCATGGTATCCAAGGAGATGGGGTCTTGGCCGCGGGCGGTCATCTTGACTGTTCGTAAGGCAGTGTTCATCAACGGCGAGACCGACGTGATTGTGCCGTGCACGATTGTTCCTAAATAGTACCGTCGTTAGCCACTGCATAGAGAGATAACATCCTATCCGATTAAGGAGTTTAGTGTAGCGCGTACCATTTTTCAGCTCGATCGTCACCGTCTCGTTGACGCACTTCATCAAGAACCTGGGAAACCATCACAATTAGCACCGGAGCCGTAGACGTAGCTTTTGTGAATACTTAATTTAGCACACAATTATGCGCCGTGTGGGAGTAGGATAAGCTTACCTAACGAGCTTCATCTTGGCTGACTATTCGTGTTTTGCGAGATAATGGGTTTTGAGGTTTGTATTTCGGGATCTTGAGATTTTGGTTGGAAGCTTAAGGTCGGACAGTCGCGTTTAGTGAGCTTTGGTTACAAGGCGAAGTTCTAGGGTGGTGAAAATTAAAGGCCGTCAATTGCAGGTTGCGTACCGTCACGTGACTCAGAGCTATTTTCCCGATTGGGTACTTTGGTACATTGATAAGTACCGTTGTATCTCGCTGATGTTTTGTAGTCTAGTTCAAATAGAGCTTCGATTCGTCATTCTAAACATGTATAAGCTACCTAAATATATCTTATATGCCAGGCCATCTTCAGACACATATATTGACTATTATTTATATATTGACAGCCGGTTAAATCCAATATAAGAAGTATCCCCTCAACTATAAACGTGCTAGTAGATGTAAAGAGCAAGATGATAATCAACGCTGAAGTCCTGAAATGCAAGGTATATATGCTACTAACCCAACCTCGCTACAAATGCTCGTGCAAATGCCACTCCGACCCCAAGCGTATATAATTATATTCGTCTAGGTTACAGTTTATTTGTCCTTCTCGTTCTCATTCTCGGATACCTTTTCCCACTCGTCTTCCGTACTAACACTAGATTTTGTTCCGGACGAAGGTTCCGTTCGAAGCTTCAGGTCTCCCGTCTGTTCTATAACTTCCACTTCCTTGCTTCCTGTGGTAGGTTTCCCCTTTGCGATGAAAGCGGTTTCTACTTCGGTTTCTTCGCTTTCGTCCGAGGATTGTGCAGCTGCTCTTTGTTCGGAACGTGCCTTGTCCCGGGCCTCCTTGGCTTGTGCTACCCTCAACTCGGCTGCGAACCAGTTGATAGCCCACCAGAGCCCCCCACACAGGAATGAGAGTATCACGAAGTGAATACTATATGTCCCGACTAGTAGGAGAAGAAGTACGAGCTGTAAACAAGCGAATGTAGCGTTGGTAGCGACGAGGAGGGTTGGAGTCGTTCCGGGAGTGAAGATAGATTCCCAGAGATCTGTTGCAAAGCCTGCCATATTTTCCAACGTAAAAAAAAACTCGGAATATAGATGCGACAAGTGTTATTGGGCTCGAGTCGATATGCGACGGTGGATACTACTTCTTGTGTGGCCTAGATTAATCTAGAGGGTTGCAAAGTTAGCTTAGGAAGGCGGTCAGTTTAAATAGGAGATAGCAATAGACTAGAAGCTCCGATGAGTGCTTGGACTGACTTGAGTTAAGGCCAGTGTGCTGTTAGGCAGTTACCGATGTAGTCATAGACAACCTGTGAATAGGACACGGCGCAAGAAGCTGATTGATTTATTAGCCACGACACAAAGCGTGCGATGGGAGAAACGGGAAACAGTCAAGCGGGGCAAGAAAGGTAAGGTTCCCTACCTATGTAGGTACCAAATCTACCTATATAATGTCGGAGATAGCCAGTTCTCAACTTAATCAGCTCCTCGCGGGAAAATAAAATAGTTGGCGGCAAATATAAGTCGTAGGTTATAACCAAAACAGACTTATATGGGCTAGAAACCCAAGAATAAAGAGGCTGGGAAAAACCGGAGGATAATTAGGAGAAGGAAAGCGGATGCTCTGTTGTAAATACCTATAAACGTCGCGGGGAGGTACAATATACATGCAAAAGAGGCGGGGCTTTGGAGGGGCTCAGGTTGGCAGGTTGGCAACTTCCAGTCCCTTATGACTTTGGTCCTGACCAGTGCGACCGACGTCAGTCTTTCTCGCCTGTGCGCTGACTTACTTGTATGTACCTAAGGTACCTACCTAGGTACCTAACTAGGTACATAAAATTGTTTAGTTGTCTACCTTTTTATATCCTAAGGACGAATGGCTATTACTATATGACTGCGATACACATATGTATGAAGATAGTTTTAGGATAGGGTCTAGGACTATGAGGAAGCTATGTCATCGACACATACGTTAAGGGATGGTTGAATTCTCTCCTCTCATATGAACCGTGGTGTAGGTAGTTTCATGCTGTGCCTCGTGAGAAACTAGCTTGGTAACGACGAGGCGATGACGATAAGCCAACTATGATCCCATCCAATCGTATCTACTACATAATATATACTCCATCTCGATATCATCAATGAGATGCTTCCAGATTTTGAAGCCCATCTTGAAGTCTACCTTAATACATTACTACCCAAGATTAGATATCTTATCGATAGGTGGTTGCCGTATCTCCGCTGTCCGCTGTCCGCTGTATTTCTTCGTAGATCCCTTTTGAGTTAGGTGCCAACCTTATAACCTTATGTTTTATACGTGCCATGTGCCCCACGCCTATCCTGCCTACCCCGTGCGACAGGCCAATTAGAATCCACTTAGAGGTTCTTGTGTTAAAGGCGTCAAGTACGGGAAACCTACCTACACTAGATGCAAGCCTCGCCTGAGTTGAAACGAATGAAATACATACCTCTTTCACAATCGCTACCCTACGACATACGGCTAGAGCCACACTTCAGGCTCTTGTTTTACACCTTTAAATAAATCGTTGCCATCCTTGTTAAATCGCTTACCCACGTAACGGTACATTAATCAAATATCAACTTTCCTACTTAGTACCTACATAGCTCTTCCAGCGCTCCAGTGCTCCAGTGCTCCAGCGACGATCATATTACTAGTTGCTACTCACCAAGTAGCTGGGAGTTGCGTATAACATCCATTTCGCGCGACGCAATAATACTGCCTTCTAGTTGTTTCCGCCTCATATCTAAAGCCCCGATATAAATAATTGGCGGTATCCATCATAGCTGACAGCATGCGATTCGATGCTTCAGGGCGCCTTTAGCTTCAAGCGATATCATAAGTCAAGGCGAGCATCAACAAAGTATCATGGCTAGCAGCGCGGATTCAAGCCATTCCAGCTTGAAGGACCTTCTAATTTCGCATCCGCAAACGAGACATGAGACCGGTCAGTATCCGCCGGAATCTTCGTCGTCGGATATTCCTGTGCGCGACCCGCCTGTACCGAACCTATCCAAACTTCTTAGAGGCAAAGGACGAGAATGGGAAGCTATAAAATCCAAGTCTAGGCCGTTGCAGCTTCTCGACCTTCCGGTCGACATTTTGAGGCTCATCGTTAAGGAGGCAAGCTGGAGACACCTATGAATAGGTCCTATGTAAGGTCTACTGACATCTGGATGCTAGGTGACCCACACGAACGACCTAACCTCGTTAGCTTTAACGAATTCCACACTCTATTATCTCGCTATACCTCATATTTACGCCCGCTTCGATATAGTCTGGCCAGATGATACTGTTCCCCCGTCCGACAGTAAAAACGTCGATGCGCTGACCTATGGGCTGGCAACCTTGTGTCTAGGCAGTAAGTTCGCTCAGCGGGCAAGATGGCTGAGAGGGAGCTCTCTACCTTACTTGGAATCCTCTGGGAGGCTTTCCAACAACCAATATGCAAGATATACTCGTAAATTTTCCCTCGGTAACGGGCCGAAGGACTGGACATCCGAATATATGGTCACCAAGGAGAGCGGGAAGATGCTAGGAACATTGGTGGCAATAGCTGTCGGCAAGATGATCAACTTGGAAACCTTCGTGTGGGATATGCCCACAGGGGTTTTATCTGAAGTTTTCATGGCCTTAGCATCCCTCCAAGATCATTATCCGGAGGGCCAATCTAAGTTGGAGAAGGTCTGGGTTCGCTGGCACGATAATTCCGAGGTCCAAGATGCTTCATCCTCCGTTTCTAGCCCGATCCAAGGTCCCTTGCCGCCTCTTTCTGTTCCTATTGGAAGTACAGTGACTCCTGTCGGCAATACTCTGCCTAGTGATTTCCACCCGTCTGTAACACAGCCAATTAAGTACTCCGAAAGCCACGTCGAGTATCCAACTTTCAGTATTCTACCACCTCTCAAAAGCTTGACGGTTCTAGACATCGATGAGCTTGCGTACTTAGACGAGATATCGGTGCTAATCGAGCGTTCGAGATCTTACCTTCGGGAACTCCGAATTGGGATATCGCAGAAAGCTCGTATGGCGGACTTTGCGCAGGCCTGGGATAGCTACACCTTGCAGCAAATTGACCATGATGCCCGTTGGCCCGGAGAAAGTCAGATCGGAGAAAGGAGACTAGGGGGGGTCCTCGGTGTACTGGTTGGTAGAATATATGACATAAGAAGAAAACCCGTCACAAAGGTTCAGATGAAGGATTCGACTGATCCCACCTCGGAACAGACGCAATTTGGGGTCGGATTCGGCTCAAGTTCTAACGGTGGCCTTTCACCGTTCACGCACGCGAATATCACAACGCCTAGAGAAATACCACCCCTGAATCAGCAGCGGCCCGGTGTCTCTACGGCCTCAGGTCAGGGCAGCAATGAATCATATGCGGAAAGAAAGCGTCTTGATGGAAAGCTCCAATTAGAGACGTTGGAACTCGAACGGGTACCGCTATCACTACAGGTTTGCACAAAGGCTTTTGACTGGAGCGTCTTGACAAGTCTTACGATTCTCGATTGCATGTTTGTTGAACACCTCTGGAGGACTCTAAAAAGACAATTTCACCCTACACCCCCGGCCCATGGCTCACCCCCTGGAACACCAACCCAGTATCACTTGGCATTGAAGCACATACATACCAACATTCCTTCCAATACTCTGGTTAGTTTCATCAAGGAAACTCTCGCACCCAATAGCCTAGAGGTACTTTTCTTGCAAGACCGACGGCGGGCGCCTCATCCAGCTGTGAAACTTGACCAAGTTTTCAAGGGCGCGATAAAGCGTCATCGGTTAAGCCTCAAGAAGCTCCTTCTCGATAGTTCGGACGAGTCGGGAGAGGGCCGTCGGTGGGAAAGTTGGGTGCTTAGTAGCGAAATGATTTCCTACATTACTAGCGGGCGAATGCCAAATCTCAGAGAACTTGCTGTGGCAATTGATTATAAGGACTGGGTAAGCAGACATTACAGCCTAAATTAACCGCAATAGTAACGGTGGCGAACACTAACTGGTGCTACACCTATAGCATCCATTCCTCCAGCGGCTTCCGAACGTCTCACAGCTTCGCTCTCTACACTTAACTCATATATTAGGGCATATATCTGGCAATTTCGATCCTAAAGAGCTTGCTCTCCAGCTAGTTGACATTATTACGCTGCGAACAGAAATTCAGCTTTGCTACGTAGGTATAGGCAGTAAATGCTTCGAGATACTAGAGACTCGGTCAGGCGACGGTACTAATGGTAGTTCTGATGTCGGTCTGGGTGGAAATCACAATGAAGACGTACCCATCGTGATCGATATGGACGACGGCAACGATGATGACGGCAGTGAGGCTGACGAAGAGACGGAAGAGGACGACGATGATGATGACGATGATGACGATAACGAGGACAACGTCAATGCGGGTGCAGCGGACGCTGGGGATGACATGACTGATGTGTCTGACGATGCTGAGTCTGAGACGGACTCGTTGCAAGAAGACGATACGGTAGGGTCAGCAGCACGGCTCCGGTTACGTGAGATTTTGTTCTACGATGACAAAGTCGCTATATTCAAGGCAAGGCACGGCAGGCTATGAAGTATGACTCGGGCCCCCAAAGGCTTGGAGCTCGTTAAGTTGTATTTAAAATTTCGAGAGCAGACCGTGGTACAAGGCTCTTCTTACTTGGGACACGAGCACATGAATTTCAAAAGCGCTTAGCAAACGTAAGACTTGGGACTCAGCTCCCGTGTCTATATTGTCTATATTAGGCACTTTTAGCGGGAAAAAAGAATATCATAAAAAAAAGAAAATCGTGCCCGATTCTTCGCACTTTGTCTTCCGTCTTTTTACAAATAACTACCTACAATACAAATAAATGCAAGGGGGAACTTTGCAGCTCGAAGATAACGTTGAAGAAAAAACGCCACTGCTGAGCTGTATCGTCCCGCTAAATCAAGCCAGGGTTTGAGGGAGCGAATCATGGCTCGGGATCGGTACAATCCCTCCAAGTTTATGCTGGACGGACCCAGGACGGTGCAGGACGGTGCAGGACGGTGCCTATGAAGGCCTAATGCAGGAACCTAGCAGCCCTGGACTCACTGGGGGGGCTACGTATGTAGGTCTAGGTAGACATTTTGAGTCACAGTACCTGTCACAGTTAGATCCCGGGTTCTTGTCGCACTATTCCAACTTCCAACTATTACATACCTACATATACATACATAATATTACATATATACCTATACGCCTAGGTATTCTCAAGTTTCGTCGTTTTTCCTTCACCGTACCCAGCAATATCTATCGCTGTCGTACAGGGGGTGTCTTACCGCCATCTCACCTTGAGAAGAAATCCTTTTTCAGCCCCTTGAGCTGGGTTGCTCAGCGGGACCCATTCACAGCGAAACATTTAGGGAGTAGATTTTTATTTTTTATTTATTTTTTAGTTCCATGTTGTTGTCCGTAAGAAAGTAGAAAGTAGGAAAATTTAGTACATTCAGTACATTGTATATGTGTGTCTCATTCTCACCGATAGTTGGTGCGGTTTTTTCCTTTGTCCTAGATTCGGAAAGGCTTGTTGCAGAAAAGGAAATGCACCAAACATCGACCTCTCCGCCATTTCGTTG